CCTCTCCATGTCCTGGTCCTGTTCTGTGTCTGTCTTTCTGTGAATCCTCAAAAGTCAAAGGCCGATGCAACTTCTACACGGGTCAGTCATCCCGCTAGCCTGGTATAGTGGAAAAGACATAACCTGGACTCAAATCTCAGATTTGCCATTTTTTTGCTGTGTGACCTTGGCAAGTTACTTAGTATCTCTGAGTCCATTTCCTCCCTGGAAAAACTGAGATACAAATACCCCCCTTTCAGGCTTTGTATTATCAGGCTAGGCAGTTGCTTAATAAACAACCCTAAAAACCCGAGTGGCTTAACAAACACGATGTCACAGTCCAGTGAAGGTAAGCAGAGGCCCAGGGGCTACTACACAAAATTATGCAAGAATACGGTCCAGTGGCTCTGCCATCCCCTAAGGCTCAGAGTCCTCCCCTGGATTTTGAAACTAGACCACAAGGAAAAACAGTGAGCAAGTGTATAGAAGATTGTGAGTGATATTTTTAGGGGACAGACGGGAAAGCAGCATATATCACTCCCACCCACATTCCATTGGCCAGAACTCAGTCACATGACTTGACCTGGTAGCAAGGGATGCTGGGAAATGTAGTTTTGGGAGAAAGAAGAAAGTGGATCTGGTGAACAAATAGTATCTTCTCTGTCACAGGGTTACTGTGAAGATGGATATAATAGGGGTAAATCCTGTGACCTTTCTGGAACATAGTAGGTGCCATATGAATAGTAGCCATCAGTAGTTATGTTTTTTTACTGTTTGCCAACTTTCTCAAGTGTTTAAGTCCGTGCGGACAAAGGCTGAGATAAATAAGGAGACTGAGGGAACAAGCAGACGAGGAGAGAACTGTTCTGTTGTGGTGTGGACAGGAATGGAAGTGCAGGCCAGATTTAAGATGTAGGGGTAGGAGTAGGAGCAGGCAGGGGCTGGGGGGTGGGGTGCAGGAGGCTCACAGGGAACAGGCAGCCCAGTGGTACCAAGCACAACCACTGACTTCCTGGCCAGCCCGGGCTCCCACCTGAGCCAGAAGGGGCTTAGAAAGATCTGAGTTTCCTTGGAAACCATTTCTCTGGCCCTCTCTGCACGTTATCAGCCAAGTTGGTTGTAATCAAACCCCCACGGGGCAGAGAATGAGCTCTCAAACTGCCGTCCTGGGGTTCCATCCAAATTGCTTGCATTTCCTATTTAAATTGGTAGTTTCCCCACGAGTGTTGGCCCAGCCCAGGCCGAGATTTCTTGGGAAGGGGAAGCTCTGGACATGCACTCAGATGCAGCCCAGCATCTTTGGGAGGGCCTCCAAACAGTCTTGAGGCCTCTGGCAAATCCGGGCCTCAGGAACTGCCACACCAGGCCAGGACCCTGTCTTCGGGACCCTCTGCCCCACGGAGGGAACAGCCCAGACGTTAGCTGTGGAGGAGAAGGGCCTACACAGGCCACAGTGGGTGACTCCAGAATGGTGGGTACCATTGTCCAGACTGAATCTGGGGAGGACTGACTGTTGTACCTTTGGCAGGTACACACTTCCTGAAGGAAAGGGATGGGGCTGGGCTGGGCACCAGATAATCTGTTTTTTTAATTGAGGTCACATTGTTTTATAACATTATATAAATTTCAGGGGTATATCACTGTATTTCAACTTCTATGTAGACTGCATCGTGTTCCCCACCAAAAGTCTAGTTTCCATCCATCACTGTACACATGTGCCCCTTTACCCCTTTCACCCTCCCCCTACCCCATTCCCCTCTGGTAACCACCAATCTATTCTCCATATTCATGTGTGTGTTTGTTTATCTTCCACATATGAGTGAAACCATATGGTATATGTCTTTCTCCGTCTGTCTTAGCATAATACTCTCAAGGTCAATCCACGTTGTCACAAATGGCAAAATTTCCGCCTTTTTTATGGCTGAGTAGTATTCCATTGTCTGTATACACCACACCTTTACCCATTCATCCATCAATGGGCACTTAGGTTGTTTCCAAGTATTGGCTATTGTGAATAATGTTGCAGTGAACATAGGGGTGCATATATCTTGTTGAATTAGTGTTTCGTGTTCTTTGGATAAATATCCAGAAGTGGGATAGCTAGATCATATGGTAGTCCTATTCGTAATTTTTTCAGGAATCTCCATACTGTTTTCCATAGTGGCTGCACCAGTTTGCATTCCCACCAGTGGTGTATGAGGGTTCTCTTCTTTCCACATCCTCTCCAACACTTGTTATTTCTTGTCTTATTAATATAGCCATTCTGCCCAGCATGAGGTGATATCTCATTGTTGTTTTGATTTGCATTTTCCTAATAATTAGTGATGTTGAACATCTTTTCATGTGCCTGTTGGCCATCTGTGTATTTTCTTTGGAAAAATGTCTGTTCAGACCCTCTGCCCATTTTTTAATCAGATTGTTTGGTTTTTTTGTTGTTGAGTTGTATGATTTCTTTATATATTTTGGATATTAACCTCTTATCAGATATAAAGAAATAGAGACTAAAAAGACAATAGAAAAGATCAATGAAACTGACAGCAGATAATCTCAAAGTACTCAGAGCCGCGGCGACAGGACAAGGGGAGAGCTGGGGAAGTCCCAGAGTGGGAGGCAGAGAGATTCCAGGACGCTCTGAAGCCACTCACCTCCACTCCCTTGGTCACAAGCCAGCCCAGGCCCCAGAACGACTGTAGGAATGGAGACTGAACCCCTGCCCTTTTTCCTTTCAGAATGGGCAGAAGGCCCATCTCAGAGAAGGACAAGTACAGACACACGCTTAGAGAGCCATATACACACATGTGAGTGCACATGAACACGTACACACTAGAGAGAGCTGTACGTGTGTGTGGATGGATGCACAGCTGTGTACTTGAATATCATGCATACTGAGCGCCCCCCGAGCCACACCAGGCATGTTCGTGTTCATGAGGGACACAGGGTGAGGCTGCTTGCAGCACACAGTGCACAACCACACATGACAGTCTTACTGAGCATACGTGCACGCTGACCCCGTCCAGCCAGGCCCTACGCCATGATCCCTGAGCCACACGTGGACTCAGACACACACATATGAGACTGAGGAAGAGGGAAAACGGGGCTGGGAGATGGACCCTGCTTTGCAGGTGACTAAGCAGGGGACATCTTGGATCCCAAATTACCAGACAGATCCAAGGAGATGCGGCAAATTGAGTCTAACCCGTGTCTGCACCTGACAGTCTCTTCTGGACACGAGTGCAGAGGCGGAGTGGGGAGCCTCTGGGTGGGGTGGGGTGGGGCCCTCCTGGATGAAGCAGGCTCCCAGTCTGCAGCAGGGATCAGGGACCAGGAACAACGCCCAGTAGACGCCTTATTCCCAAAGGTGAAGCTGGACGTCAGGGCCGTATTCCAGTGGAGAACAATAGGTAAAGCTGGGACCAGCCGGGGGCCTGGGAGCCTGCAGTGAGGGCAGCAACTGGGCTTGTGGGCCCTGGGTGTCCAGGGATCCCTATCTCTCAGATCCTATATTCAGGGAAGCACATCTGTGCCAGCCCCCCTACTGCCGTGCTCGGCCCCCCACGCAGAGCCAAGCAGGGTCAGGTGAGCTCAGGGACTCGGCGGGCAGGGCGTGCAGGCTCCAGCAACAGAGGAGACGGGGGGACACACACCCAACCTCGAGCCAGCTAGACCTGGACTCAGTTATTCCCTCTGCTGCCAGGAAGACAACTGAAGAACCCCCCCTCCCCGCGCCCCCGCCAGAACCTGCCCTCAGGGCCCTCCCTCCACCCCCGCTAGAAGGGTCAGGTCACGCAGGCTCCTGGTCTCCCCTCCCTCGGCGAGGAGGCTGGGAGCCCAGCTGCACAGCCGAGACGGGTGGGGAGCAGGTGCTGGGTTCTGAGGCCCAGAGCGGCTGTCCCACCATTTCTCCTCTAATCCCGGCTCTGAGAAGAATCCTGCAGAGCGTCACAGCCCGCCTGCTCCTTTCTAAACTGACAGGTGTGAGAGCAGAAATGAGGACCCCGGCAAGGAGGGCGCAACCAGCTGTGTGCAGCCACGACTCTAGCATCTTCTGGCAGAGTCCGCCGTGGGGAGAAAAGACAGGTGGAGTGAAATTTCAGCATACTCAGAGCTCCCCTACCACCCAGTCACTCTATCTCTGTCTCTGCCTTTGTATAGGATACTCTCTCGGCCTAGAATATCCTTCCACCTTCTTGTCTCCCAGAAAACTCTTACTTAACCTTCAAAACCCTGTTCAGGTATCCCCTCTTCTATGAAATCTTTCTCTAGCACACTCCCTGTCTGATGAATTATTCATTCCTTCCCCTGGACTACCTGCTTCATAGCATGTGTTATGATTATCTTATTCATGCCAGGATGTCTGTCTTCCCCACCTGACTGTGAGTTCCTTGAGGGTAGGAATGTGTGGCACTCATCTCTGTACCCCAGCACCACCCCAGGTGGGGACAGACACCACCTGGTTCCTACAGAACATGCCCAGGAGAAGCCGTGTAATATAGCATGTAAGACAGAGGGCTCTGGAACAAGCCAGACCTGAGTCTGCATCCCAACTCTGCCTCTTCTAGCTATGGGACTCGGACAAGTTGTTTCAACTCTCTAAGCCTCAGTTGGTCTGAATAGGAAATGGAAAGAATAATGATAATCACCATCTCATGGATTGTCGTGAGTAGTAAATGATATAATGAAAATTGAGGGGTTAGCCCAGAACCAGGGACATTAATTACCTTTGTTATTATCCCACGAGCATCTATGCTGTTGATTCTTTGCTGAAAAGTCATAATGACTCCCACACAGTCCTTTCCCCTAGAAATCTCATCAGCAAATAGACACAATGAAGTGTGAGGAGTCCCTCTGACAGAGCAGGGGTGCTCTGGGAGCCCAGAGAAGGAACCGCTAACCTTAGTGGCCGCGTGTTCTAGTGGTTATGTTCATTGGCTTCGGGGTCAGAAAGTCCCAAGTTCAAATCTTGACTCAGACAGTATCTAGCTGTGTGAACTTGCGAAAATTATTTAGACACTCAGAACTCCTGAAATGTAATGGAAATTTAATTACACAAATAATACAAAATGGAATTTGTCAGGGGGTGAGCAAGGAAGACTTCCCAGAGAAGGTGACCTCAGGCCTTGACAAATGAATAGGAGTTTTCCAGGTGGAGGGGGGAAGTACGAGCATTTCCAGCAGAAGTAGCAGTGGGTTAACGGCTCGTGAAACCAAAGGACGACGAGAAGTTTCGTGACTCCAGATCACTGTGTATGAGGGAGAGGTGGCAGAAGAGGACCTAGAAAGACAGGACCAGATTGGGACAGACCTGGAATGTCAGGCTAAGTAGTTCCTGCACACACCTCCAATGACGAGTCGCTGTTCGAGAATACGCCTGGCACGTACCTGGGGCTCAATAAATATTTGCAGAAAAAACAAATAAATGAGTTAGTGGCACCAAGAGATCCTGACCCATGACCCTTTCTCTCTGTTGGAATTCCACTTCTGCCGTGAGTTAACTGTGAGGCCTTGGGCGAGGCACATAGCCCCTGGGAGCCTTGTGTCCATCTGAAATTGGAAAGGGGCTGGACAGTCTTCAAGCGCTCTCAGGAGGTCATCTTGAGGTAAGTGTGAACACGCCATCAGGGCTTGCCACATCAGGTCCTCAAGTTCTGGGTGGCGATCCCTCTCTCTGGAAATAACTCTTTTGAAAACAAATGGCTTACTCCATCACAAGCATCTGCACGCCAAACCCAGTTCTGGGAGTTTCACGTAACTTCTCATTTGGTCTTCCCAACATCCCCGTTAGGGAGACTTTCTTATCCCATTTTACAGATAACAAGCTCAAAGTGGTGAAGTGACGTGCCCCAGTGTGTGCCAAAGTCACAGGGCTAGTCACAGGGTCAGAGCTAGGACCCAAACTCCAGTTTTTCTCACCCCAAAAACTTGCCACCACACTGAAGATTTTTTTTTTTTTTTGAGGAAGCTCAACCCTGAGCTAACATCTGCTGCCAATCCTCCCCTTTTTGCTGAGGAAGACTGGCCCTGAGCTAACATCCATGCCCATCTTCCTCTACTTTACATGTGGAACGCCTGCCACAGCATGGCTTGATGAGCAGTGCCATGTCTGCACTCGGGATCTGAACCGGCAAACCTGGGCAGCAAAGCGGAACGTGGGGAACTTAACCGTTGCACCAACGCGCCCGCCCCAAAGATTTTTTTTAAACCAATAAAAGCCATTTCTTTTCTTTGAATGAAATATGACATTGATGGGAACCCCAATTTATAAAAGAATTAAAACCAGAGCTTCTCCTGTTGAAGCAGAGCAGGGGGAACAGGATCCCTTGCTCTCGTCTCCTTGCCCCCACTCACCTACCCAGCTACCCACCTCGCACTGACCCCTGGGGCTCCTACAGGCCCAAACCACTGCTTTTCACTCCCTCCTATCCAAGCCTCACAGCCGGGAAACTTGCACAGAAGTTAGACCCACCCATGGGCCTGACGTCAGAAGAACAACTCCCGTGCTCTGCAGTTCACAGGATAAAAATGTCTTCCTTCTGATCCCCAGCCAGTCTCCCGATAAGCCCTGCCTGCCACGTCTTAATATTCCTCCCGCTAAGGTGCACGAAGGTCCCTCAGACGTCTGGTTTCCGCCTGCTAGTCTTTGAACTTGAGACATTCTAAGCACCCAGTCGTTGACTTAATCATTCGGGGAAGACTTGAAAGATGGTCCAGGCAGCGGTCAGCCTACTCTTTTCTGCAGAGAATCTGGACGGGCTGGATGCTCTCCCCACGGGCTCCTCTCCGGGGATGGCTGCTTGAATCAGAGTTAGAGATCACGGCCAATTCATTTGCAGCCCCAACAGAATCCTGTTAGCAGGCTGTCCTGGGGGTGGGAAGTGGGGGCGGCTCACCTATGTCTCTATCAGAAGCCGCGTCCTTGGACATTTAATAATCAGTTCTGCTTGGCTTAGCACTATCAGAGCCCTGAATTGGGTTCTATCTCAAGGCCCCAGGGCCTCAAAACCGTGTCAGAGACAGGCCGACTTCCCTGCCCTCTGGAGAGGACAAACCCCTGCAATTCCAGCGTCGTGAGTTCCTGCTGCCGCTGCGCCCTGCTGTAACCCTGCAGCCCTTCCTGAAAACACGGAGGAGCCACAGGAGGGCTCCATTTCCCCCTTCTCAACAACTGTCCCCATCTTCATCCCATCTCCGAGGAAGAAAAGCTCCCTCCTCCCGTCCAAGGCCAACCCTGCAGTCGAATTTCCACCGCCTCACAGCTCCTCAAGGATCTGCACCCAGAACGTCTCCTTTGTCCTCCAGCACAAACAGGCTGGAGCTCCGCCCAAGCTAAAGGTGGCCTGCCCAGCATGGCCCCAGCTTGTATCAGGCAGATCTGGATTCAAGGTCAGCCTCCATCACTTACAAGCGGCGTGACCTCAAGCCAGTCATTTCATATCTGCATCTCAGTTTCCATACCTGTAACGCAGAAATTATGGTCCGTGTCTCAGGGACAGGATGGCTGTGATGGCCGGAAAGGGCTTAGCCCATGCCTGCCCTTCCGTTACTCAAGGACATTTCGTCTTTATTATAATATTACCTCACTATCCCGTCACGCTAATGGCCTGTCTCTTTTCTTCCTTTCTCAGCAGACTTCTGTTTCCTGAGCACTCAACCCCCCCTTGGCCTATTTCATCAGTCCTTGTCCCCACGCCTCTCACCCAGGACACCAATGACCCCAGGTGACTTAACTCAATGGCTTCTTCCCAGATGCCCCTCGAGGCACGTGTTGCTGATGCCCACTTGCTTTTTTCCTCAAATTCTCTCCCCCCTAGGCTTCCTGGCTCACTCTCCTGTTCCCCTCCAACCCTCATGAACAGCCCCTCCATCCTGTCTGACTCTCCTAGATTAGAAAGCAGCTGCACATTGGAATCATCTGGGGAGCCTAAAAGAGGAACACCCAGCCCCACCCTCCAGCAAGTCTCCCTCAGTTGGTCTTAGGGAAGCCCAAGAGTTCTAAGATGCAGCTGGTTTGAGACGCACAGCCCTGGATAAAGAATATGCCCTTGGCCTTTGTGTTTGTTAAGAATATTTTCAGCTTATAGAAAAAGAAATGAACTAACAGTGGTTTAGATAAGACAGAGCTCATCTCTGTTGTAGGTGTGGACTCTAGCGGTCTGGATGAGCTGGCGGCTCCACAAGCATCAGGGACTCAAGCTCCCACCGCCTCATGTCACAAAAAGGCTACTTGAGCTTCGCATCCTTGTTTCAGCCAGCAGGAAGGAGTAAGGAGCAAAGAGTGGTAAAGGCATGCAGGGACCGCTTCCTCTTTCTCCTCACCAACCACAACTTAGCACGTGGCCACACCCAGCCTCCCGGGAGGTTGGGAAGTAGAGTCTGTATTCCAGGTGGCTGCGCCTCGCTAAAACTTGGGGATTCGGATTACTGAGGAGGCAGAAGAGAGCAGTCCCTGCCATGCCCTCTACTCTCTCTGCACCCAATCGTGTCGCCGCCCTAGGACCCCAACCGCCACACCTGAGCGTTTCCCCAGCCGCACCAGGGCCTCTCAAATGCGCTCTGTCCAAACCTGAATTCATCTTACCAAGACCCATGCGGCAGCAGCGGTTCTGAGATTACAGACCTGGCTCTAACACTCGAGTCACCGTGGATCTGTGCCCTAGCTTATGGACCTTCGTTTTCTTATCTATAAAATAAGGTAAGCGGCATATTTTACAGGTTGGTGGGAAGGTCAAAGCCTGGGTTACATAGAAACACCTGCTACAGCGCCTTATGTACAGTAGAAGCTCAATACATGTCGGTTTCCTTTTCTTCCTTTTTTTCTGTCCTAGTCTAGAGCAACCATTCCCTTTTTCCATTCTGTGCTGTCCCAGCCCCAAATCGATATGTATTTGGCCATTGGGCCCTGAGGATAAGACCCCCAGATGTGGCACTGACCTTATATCTCCTTGTCAAGACCATATGTCAGATGGTAGAGCGGGAAAGCAGGAAAGGAGGGAAGAGAAATCATCTCAGCAGAAAAGGAGCTGATTCTCCTATCCAGACACTTCCCAGGAGCTAGGACAACTTCTCAAGAACTAACCAAGCCTGATGGCTCAGGAATCCTGCCCCCAGCTGCTCTGCACCCCCCCCCCCCTTTACCTCAGGGAAAATCTCTTTGTTCTCTTTCACTCTTTTCATTATGACTCAAGGCTCTAAGGTTGGAGGACAGATGCAGTGTTGGTCAAAGTCAAAAGTCTGGTCAACTTCACAATTCTCCCATTATGGACTGTCCCACTTCCCCAAGCACAGACTGATCTTGGACCCTGGCCACAGATCATCTCAGACCCAGTCATAGACTGCTATAGATGCAGGACCCAGCAGCACTGGCATCACCTGGAAGTTGTTAGAAATGCAGAATCCAGGGCCCACTTGAGTCACACTAAGTCAGAATCTGCATTAATACCTTTAAAAAGCAACTCAAGTGTTTCTTATGTGTAGGCTGAACCACAGCACCATTTGAACCTCCAGATTTTGTCTCACCTTCCGTCAGGAGAGAAATAGTTTGATGCTAATGGAGGGCATGTTTCCCTTGCCTCTCCCCTTTCCTTCCTCTTGCCCTCCCCAGGAACCCAGCATCCATGAGGTGACCCCTGGTGTCCTCAGCAGGACTCTAAGCTTCTGTTCTCCTAGTCATAACTTTCTCCATCCACTGAGCCAGTTCCCTCCAAAAGACCTGCCTGGGAACAGACACAGCTGGTATGGATGCCTTTAATGCTGTATCCTCATTTGAATGACCTATTGCAAGTTTATTGAAAAGAAAGCAGGTAAAACACCCAGAAGAGTACCTGAAACATGAGAGACAACCAATAAGTGGTAGCTCTTACTATTACCAATGTGTGACCTTGACCATCCCTGTACGTACCAGAGCCTCAGCTTTATCACCAGCACCTGACACGCAGTGCCAACACAGAGTAGATCTTAAGCTATGAGTTCAGTCTGATTCTCAGCTCAGCGGAAGGAGAGATTATCAAATCCAGGATCGACCAATGAAAAGAGGAGAGTACAGACAGGGATATGAGCCCGGATACCAGGTCAGGTAAACCCAAGACAGGTTTGAGAAACAAGGAGAAGACTAGCTGGGCAGCAACAAGAGCCATGCAGAAGAGAAATGGATGATACACACAGAAGGAGGGTAGAGGCAGTGGTGGGAAGTCACGCTAAGAAGTTTGGGTTTATGCCGAAGGAAAGAGGGGACCACTGGATGGTTTAGATCACGAAGTACAGAAAGAGACTAATCCAGGGCAGTGTGTAGCAGTGGAGAGAGGAGAGTGGATTCAAGAGATATTGCTGGGGTAGAACATAGAGGACTTGGTGACCAATAGGATGTGAGAAGAAGGAAGAGAGAGGATCAATTTGACAACAATGATGGTGATATCAGTGACAGACAAGGCAGCCCAGAGATAGAACTGTTTCCAGGTGGAAAGTGACAGGTTTTGTTTTAGAACTCCATTCCTTCATCCGGTCAGTATATCTTCAGTGTCCATGCCAAGCACTGCACGGGGCTCTGCATATATCGTGGTGTACCAGACTGACAGTTCTCACCCTCATGGGAGGTACAGCCTGATGATAGGATGATGCTGAGGTCCCTATGGAACATCCAACTAGAGATGTTCAGGAGGCAATTCAGAGAGGAGTCAGGGCTGGAGAAAGTTTTAGAGTCATTCTCTCAATTGCCCTAGACATACATTTCAGAAAGTGTCAAGAAGTGGAGACATCAGGAACTTTCTTCAAGAACCAGAGTTCAACCCAGCATTTATCATGAAAGCCACTGCCTCATCCAGCTTCCTTTGGCAGGTCCCTGCTGCAAGGTGAGTGTGGCAGAGGCAGATCCCTTGGAGGTGGATACCTGGCCCTGTGGACAGGGCGCTGGCCTCTTGATTACCTGCTGGTGGGGATTCTCATGATTCTGTTCATCTGATTAGGGATTCATGCTCTCAACAGAGCTGAGCAGAGACACAGGCCAAAGAATCTGGGCCAGGTAGACCAGTCTTAGCTCCCCTGTGATGCAGGGGAGGTTTTCCTGCAGCTCTGCCCCCCTTCTCCCCCACACTTCCCTCCTTCCACTGTACATTCTGTTCCCTGTACTTCTCAAGAACTCCCAATGTGCCAACCGGTCTCCACTTCCTCCACCCTCCTAAACTCAGAATCTTATCTCCCTCGCTACCCTCCCCTCTAGCCCCTGCTTTCCAGCCCCCTAGACTCACCGCACACACTCTTGGCCCCTGAAAGCCCCATTAAGTCAACAAATCCACAATTAATTGAATACTGAGCACTGAGCGCAGAGACGTATCATTTGGAGGTAAATTGCATGAATGATACTATGGAATTATACTTTTGTGTGTTCTAACTGTGTGGGTACAACTTATAATTCACTGTGGCTTCTCTGTGGTCAATGGGCAATGGATATTTCTATCTCTTTTATAGAATTAACAGGTTAATATAATTAGTATAAATGATACAGAAGTTTAAGGCTGTCTCTCTCTCTCTTTCTGGCATAGGATAGTTAGAACCACAATCTCCTGGCATTCATTCCTTAGGCAGAAAGCAACCCCTGGAAAACACAGCACTCCAGCACAGACAGAGACACATCCTCTCTGTTGCCAGCTGCTCTAGGATGAGGTTTCCAGGAATACACCATGGGAGGGACTCCTTTTCCCTCAAAACTTCCTCCTCCAGCGATTTTGTCAGCCTGGATCAAAAGCCTTAAAAATAGGCATCTTCTTTGACTCTAATTCTACTTCCGGAAACTTATTCTAAGGGAAATGCATGTGCAAAGATGTTTGTGGAGCACTGTTTAAAATAGCTACACATAAAAAAGGAAAGAACCTGGAGGTAATATATACACTGGGAGATGCTATGTGAGTTATTTACCAAATGTCTCTCAGCCCGAATCCACCCTTCCATATTCTGCTCTGTTACTGGGGCCAGGACTCTGCACACTGCATTTCCCAGACTCCAGAACCACCTGGCTTCCTGTTAGGTTCCCGCAGTGGGAGGCACCGAGGAAGACTGGAAGGCAGGGTGAGGAGAGAAGGGACTGAGTTCCTGTTTCTTCCTTTCCTGCCAGCACCACTCCATAGCAGCGGCAACTGGCTCCAGACTTTACTTGCTGTCTGCACTCCCAAACCCAGCCTCCTCATCCTCCGAGATACCGACGGCAGCTGGTGGCCTCCTTTCTTCCAAGGTCTGAGCACCGCAGAACCCCTGCTCTGAGCTCCTAGGTTCTCGTCTCCCCCCATCTTTTCTCTCGGTCCTCTAGCCCTCGAGGTGGTACCTGCTTCCTGCCATTATTATCTCTGAGCTCTCCCTGCCTTCCTTTCTTGCTCTATCAGCTCCCCAACAACAATGTAGCCAATTGACTGTATTAAATTCCCTTTGTTGGAAATACTTTGTGTGGTGTCTGATTTCCTAACTGGGTCCTGGCTGATATAGGTGCCATTTCACACTCATCAGATAAGGAAAAAATTATAAATGTAACAATACCAAGGGTTAGTTAAGACGTAAAGCAACAGGAAACTTTATACATTGCTGATAGGATCATAAATTTATACAACCATTTTAGAGAGCAATTTGGCAGGCAATATCTAATAAAGTTAGACATACATACACCCTTTGAGCCTGCAATTCTGGCTCTGGGAATGAACTCTAAAGAAACTCTTACAGATTACACAAGAAGGTAGCATCATTCTTTATTTTTATGATCTGTAGGCAATGGATAAGTCATTTGTGGTATACTCGTGTAATAGAATACTAGACAGCAGTTAAAAATGAATGAATGAAAGCTACATATGGCAACATGGATAAAACGTAGAAGCATCATTTTGAATGAAGAAAGCAATCTGGAAAAGGACGTGTATATGGTAGGATATCATTATATATATAAAGTCTTAGAGCCTAAAAGCAATACTATACATCGTTAATGGATACATTTGGAGATAGCAATGGGAACATATCCATGCATGGAAATGAGAACCACTAACTCTAGAATAATGGTTACTCAGGGGCAGGAAAAGAAATGGAATTAGGAAAGGAAACACAGAGGACTTTGGTTTTATTTCTTAAGCCATGGTGGTGTTTACCATTAAAATGGGAGTCTAGAAGTCAGGGCCTCAAAGAGGAGGATAGAGTCTGTGTTTAGGAAGAGGGAGGAAGTAGGGGCAATTAGCATAACATACATCAACAGCCATTAAAATAACTGTAAAAATTTGATTTCTTGTGCCAGCCATGATGGTCTAGTGGTTAAAGTTCGGCACTCTCACTGCTTCAGTGGCCCAGGTCCGTTTCCCGATTATGGAACCACACCAGCTGTCTGTCAGTTGCCATGCTGTGGCAGCAGCTCACACAGAAGAACTAGACGGTCTCACCACTAGGATATACAACCACGTACTCAGGGGGGCTTTGGGCAGGGGGAGAAAAAGAGGAAGATTGGCAACAGATGTTAGCTCAGGGAGAATCCTTCCCTACAAAAAAAAATTGTATATATATATATGATTTATTGACATGAAGAGCTGTTAAGAATATATTAAGTAGAAATTAAGAGTACAAAACAGTATGTATTTCACTGCACCCTTTTTATAACTACAATCTATATGCATGTATGGGGAGAAATGGCTGGAAAAGAATACAGCAAAATGGCAATAATGCCCACCTCTGGGTAGAAGGATTATAGATGACTTTTTTTTTTTCCTGCTGAGGAAGATTGACCCTGAGCTAACATCTGTTGCCAATCTTCCTCTTTTTGCTTCAGGAAGATTTGCCCTGAGCTAACATCTGTGCCAATCTTCCTCTATTTTATATGGGGGTTGCCACCACAGCATGGCTGATGAGTGGTGAGGGTCCTCACCTGGAATCTAACCTGGGCTGCCAAAGCAGAGTGCACCGAACTTAACTGCTAGGCCACAGGGTCGCCCCTAGATGACTTTTATTTATATTTACCTGTATTTCTCTTGTTTCTAAAACAAATACAAACTTCTCATATAATAAATTCTTAAGGATTTTTTTTTTAACTTACTCCTACAGAAAACTCTCCCTTATCTGGTACTATGACCTCAACATCTCACTGTGGAGTTTCCTAAAGAATGAAATGCAAGATGACTTTAGGTGGTTTCCCGTAGATTAAGCATTTCCTATTTTCACAAGTATATGTTGATTTTCACATATATTACGAAAATAAAATAGTTTCAACAAACAGTGCTGAAACAACTGGCCAACCACAAATAAAAAATAAATCAATCTAGACACGGACCATATACCTTTCTCACAAATTAAGTTAAAATGGACCTAACTGTAAAACGCAAAACTATAAAACTCCTAGAACAGAACAGAACATAGGAGAAAACTAAATTAGCACGTCAGACCCATGATTCAATTGATACTCAAACGTTTTTAATGGGATGCCTGCGGTGCAGAGGACAGGATTGACTTTTCAATAAATGGTGCCGGGTCTGCAGCATAGCTAATGGAGAAAATGTAACTTGACCCCTACTTCATCATACACAAAAGTCAGTTCCAGGTATCCTAAATGTTGAAGATAAAACACTAAATCTTCTAGATGCTAAACACGGGAGAATATTTTGTGACTTTGAGGTGCAAAGATTTCCTAAACAGACCAAAAAATTATTAATCATACAGGAAAAGACTGAAAAACCAGATCACTTTAAAATTAAGAACTTCTGTTTATCAGGGGCCGGCCCCATGGCCGAGAAGTTAAGTTTGTGCGCTCCGCTTCAGCGGCCCAAGCTTTCCGGGTTTGGATCCTGGGCGCGGACATGGCACCACTCGTCAGGCCACACTGAGGCGGCATCCCACATGCCACAACTAGAAGGACCCACAACTAAAAATACACAATTATGTACCAGGGGGCTTTGGGGAGAAAAGAAAAAGTAAAATCTTTAAAAAAAAAAAAAAAAAGAACTTCTGTTTATCAAAGGACACCACTGAGAGAGTCAAAAAAAAAAAAAAAAAGAGAGACAGAGTAGAAAATGGTTGCAATATTTATAATCAATAATAGACTTGCTTCCAGAATATATAAAGAAGCTCTACAAACCAATTGTAAAAAGACAGATCAAACAATTGAAAAATGAGCCAAAGACTTAAACAGGCACTTCACAAAAGAAGATGCCCAATTATCTCACAAACACATGACATATGAGAGGTGCTTGGGGGGAACTGACAATTTTCTCGTTCTTAATGTGAGAGGCGGCGAGATGGGCACATTCACTCTGAGTTTCCAAATTTTCAGTTCATGGAGCTGTACACTTACAATCTGTGTGTTTCTGTATATACATTACACAGCAATAAAAAGGAGTACTTAAAAAAAGAAATTTAAGTAAATAAATAACATTTTGGTCTTTTCGTTGATCTAGAGACAGTTTAGACACGTAATAATGCATTACATAACTTTCAAAAAGAAACAACAGAAAGATAAGCCAAAAATGAATTAAAATGATTACCTTGAGGGGAAAGGGTGAGAAAAGAAGGGAGGGAATAGAAATAAAAATTAGACTTCTCTGCATCTGTCTTTTTTTTTTTAACAAGCTTAACTTACAATCAAGTAAATAATCCACATAATTTTAAAATAAATTAATTTTTAAGAAATATTAATCAATTTTAAATTAAGCTGATAATCAAGGTAGCATATAGATACAGCAAAAATTAGGATGGTGTTAACTTGACTGTCTGAAGTCATGCTATATGAATAAAAGATTTCCGTGTGATTGTGCCTGCTGCCACTGCCCATGACACAGTCAGGGCAGACATTGCTAATCTATCCTAGATCTTTCCCACTGAGCCTAGATTGCACCTCAGAATCCAACTCACAGCACTCTAGGCAGCATTGGCACAGGAGTTAAAACATGCTTGCCATCTCTATCCTATGGTCTCAAAGCAGGTCTCGAAGAAGCAGGTCAAAGCGGTCACAAACTGACCCAGGACTCCCAAGCCCTCATCTACTAATGGGAAAACTGAGGCTGAGACAGAAGGACATACCAGGAGTTTTGTTTTCCCTCTGCTACACCGCCACCCAGCCTCAGCATTCAAGCCTAAAGAATGAAGGCTCCTGCTCCTCCATCACTCTGCACACCTGGACAGAGGAGACAGACAGAAGCAGTCAGCTAGAACAAGCTCT